ATCATAACCATTTCGTCTCTCTGTTCATCTCATTTTCTAATTAGCTTTTGACTGCATTACCTTTTGTTTTTGACCCGTGTTTAACTCACTGAAGGCATCAGTACCCAAGCTGCACATTTTTATTTTATATTTATTTTCTGCAGGTGTCCCTTCCTCTTGAATCTGGACTTGATAGGAATTGCAAACCGGTTTGCACAGTTCAATCTTCATGCCTTCGCTTTGGGAACTCTGCTTCTCATCCCCTGTGCAAATAAAAAGGCGCAGCAGATCCAGGTCAGAGCATTAACGTCTGCTTTACGAGTAAAGTTGTAACTTCTGGGCTCTGTCTCTGACCAGACGCTGTGTTTTCTGTTTCCAGGGGTTTCTGTCCATGTGCAACCCAGTGGCCGTCCTTGAGCAGGTGGATGAGTTCATGAACACGGGTGAATTGGCTGGAATCCCTTCACAGGTCAGATTAGATCAGAAATCCTTCTACCAAATGTTGCCCTTCACATTAGTTTCATCTTTAGAGAAGATCACAATAAGGAACAACACTGGAATCTTAAACATTTTAATGAGGCAGGCAGATGCAGACATGAGGAAAACAGATTTTACATGAGCAGAAAGCAATAACTAACTGTTTAAATGACAATTTATTAAATGAACAAAGCTATCCAAACCAAACTGACGTTATGTATAAAAGTAACGCCTCTCCTTGATGTCAGCAGCAGCAATCAATCATTAACTATCACCAGCAACTAATCATTTACTGTGGAGGGTGTTTGAGCCACTCTTCCTTGTAGAAATGTTTTTATTTTTTCACATTGGAGGGTTTTAGAGCATCAACAACCTGTTTCATGTTATATCCCAGCAGCATCTCAGTGCTTTATTTTTATTTTTGTATCCCTTTGATATGAACTTCTTGTGCTTTGAATCATTGACTCACTAATTATCCCAGCAGCCTTGAGTTTTAGGCCATAAACCTCTGGCCAGATGTTCTCAGGATGAATTTATGCTCCCAACAATTGTGACAAGTTGTTCAACTCAGTAAAGTTTCCCCACCCAGACCATGATACTGCCACTACCGTGTTTGACTTGATGAGCGAGGCGATTTAATTTTTCCCAGAAGTCTCCTTCAGGACGCCATTTTTACATTATGAACACTATGTTCTCTTAGAGTAAATTTAGTAGATCAGTTGCTGTTCCTCTTTTTCTGAGTTTATTGTCTTCACTGTTGTTTGCTAGAGTCTAAAGAAAGGACTCTTGAAACTGGGTGACTTGTGTCCGGTCTTATTTTGAGTATGCTTATCAATGACATGTTGCATTTTGAGATCTTTTCATCGACTGTATATGGTGCTATTTAAGTAATTTCTTAATTCTTGCAACAATCTGAATTTAGCTGTCCTTAAAATGCAGTTAATTGCATAAACTGCTGGACAATACCACATAGCAACATTTAGACTCTAAATGTGTTTTGAAGTCTCAGATCATGAGTGGAACAGTTTTGACTAAATCTGTAGCTGTATTTAAAGTGAGCATTTGCTTCAAACTTTATTTTGTAATCCTTTCTATATAGAGCCTAATCATCAAACAGTTAATTTTATTTCTACTATTTTAGATAACAAAATCAGTTTATAGTTTCCAAAAACTGAACAGGTTTGTATTTCTTGAGTCATATTTGAGCCTCAAACTTTACATGTTCTTCCTGTACAAACATTCAGCTTCCATCCTGATTGTGTCACTTCTTTTTAAATGCATATTCCATTCAAAGAACACTGACGTATATTTTTCCCCTTTTTAATATTCAATGAACTGGTATGGAGTTCCAGAAAACATGTTGAGCAGGAAACTGCTGGGTAGGAAACTATGCTGGGTGAGTTTGATGGTGTGAAGTTAAGGAAGCTGTTGGTCTTCAAATGGGCACAGAGCAATAAACAGAAATACAAAAAGAAGAACTTTTCATTGGGGTTATATTCTCTTCCAGCCACTGGCTGATACTTTTATATTCCCTTAGGTCAGGGAGACCGTCTTAAAGTTCATCAGCCAAAATGGACAGCACCAGAAAGTGATGAAAACCAAACACTTTGCCCACCTGAAGCAGCTCGTTGTGTCCAGTGGCCAACCCAACCAGCTGAAGGAGTTGGTGGAGTGCCTGATCAGCCAGAACTGGTAGGGATTTGTTGTTGTTCATGATTTGTTTTGTCTTAAAGCACTTCAGATGTCCCTTCTCATTGCCAAAGAAACAGGTTGTGATTCCACTGGTGTAGACTCATCATCCAGGATAGGACTATTGAACCAAATCAAGTGGCGTCAATAGAGACGTTTTGAAGCAAAAGAAAACCCAAACATTGAGCTGAACAGAGGCCAGAGACTCACGTCTCCCATCTGCCCCACAAGGGACTTCACTTTGGTTTACTTTGTGTTATTCTATTACGGGAACTCAAATTGAACTTTGTGGTTGTAGACAAGCAAAATGTGAAAAAATGCCTAGCAGGATGAATGCTTTCACAAAGCAAAGAAATTTGCACGGTGGCGGTGGGATTATGCTTATGGGGCTGCCAACCATATAAACTTCTGACCAAAACTGTAACCATGCAGTTCACTGTAAAATTATACTATAATTTTCTAAGCACCAAACTTTAACCTTCTTTACTTTTTGTCACATAAACCTTTTGTATTGTTAACCGCTGACTGCTGCTTGCAGAACGAGCTGTTAAAAAAACCCAACGACGCTTTCAGAACAATTTCTTAACTTGTGAGTTTTACTTAAAACGTGAAACTCCTCTTCAGTCAGGATGATGCTGATTCGCTCACTCGTGAGTATGCGAAGCACAGAGAGCAGCAACGGGGGGAAACGCTGTCGAACGGCTGCCTGAAGGTACATTTATATTTCCAAGCGGTTCAGCTCTGTGTTGGTGACAAGCCACACTTCATGCTACACTTATTTGTTTTTCAGGATTTTCTCAGCACGACCAGTGGAGTGTCCGGATAAAGCAACATCATTTTTACTCTTTATATTTGTAAATTCTATCTCTGTTTTTTTATATATATACTTGCAGTATTTGCACTCTCTTGTCTTTGACTTGTTCATGTAGTTTTGAATAAACTTATCATCCTTAAATTGTTGGTTGAGTAATTCTTTAAGGGAAAATGAGCGGTGCATCTTTTTATTTACCTTTCTGATTATTTATGTTAAAGCTGGTCATTTCGCCCCTTCAGTATTGACCAGAAATTAAAGGCCTTTGGCATTATAGATGAATCTTCACCAATTCATCAGCAAACCAATTAAGCTGTCAGATATTTTTATAATTTTCCACAACTATGGGAAAGTCTCCCATTTTTTCTGAGTAGGCTGCTACTCAAAGGGAAAACGGAGAGGTGAAGGTCCACCCCAGTAGCTTATTGTCTTTGAATCTCAGCGTGGTCAAAGATATAAACGATCCCACCCATTTAGCAGGAGACTTCAGTCTCTGTTGGCCAGGGGTCACACACTGGAAGTGTGTTTCACTACCTCAGTCCCGTCTTTTTCTCCCAAAGATGGGAAGCATTGGCACGTCTTTTGAGTCAGAGCTCCACTCTCTGTAAAGCAAACGCTGTGCAGAGAGCCGGGCAGAGCTTGATCTGTCTGTGGCTGATGTAGCTTTTGACAAAAAGATGTTGATGAAATCAGATCACAAAACACAACAGGAGATGGATAGCAAGGCTGATAGAGCACAAAAAGGTTTCTTTTTTTCTTTTCTTTTCTTTTAAGGGACTTCCTGAGAAGTCTCACTGTTTGCATGTTCTTGTTGAATTTGGGAGCTTTGACAAAACACTGACGTGTCTTTAGCTTCTGGACTTTTATAACGCATAAGCACTGAATAGTGTCTTTGTGGATTGGAAATTTAAATCTTTTACTTTAAAAGCTGCAACATGCTTCTTTCCTCTTTTACATGAACTGATCCGTAGAACAATAAAGAAAGTGGCACGATTCAGACACAGACTAACGCAGTGAATTCAGAACAGTGAGCCAGTCAATATCCAGTGGGGCAGGTCGGGGGGGAGAAGACAGACAGGTTAGTCACTGGACAAATCGTTCCAGTGTTTGCAGGAGCCCTGAAGGTCTTCCTGCTTTGGGTTTCACAACAATCTGAAACTGGGTAGGAGGAAAATCTGTCCTTATATGGCAGCAGCTGGAGATCAGGACGACGATGATGATGATCAGGTGCGAGCGGTCAAAGTTCAGCAGCAGCTGTGACACACAGCTGGCCAGACCTCAAAGGAAACCAGACATCTATATCAGCCTCGAAGGGTTTGCTAGGTGCATCTTAATTTACAAACTGTTTTACAGAACCTGTATTTTGATATGAGAATATTTTACAATACAGCTAAGTTTGTTCTCCAATGTGTGGAATGTTATAAAAAGTGATGGGGGCAAAATATGTAGTTCTCGTATGTAAAACAGACAGGAAGCCCAGATGTATCAACATTTCTATACATCATGCAGTCAAACTAAATAATAGTGAGATTCATGCATTTCAAGACCTTTGTAATTTATTAAAGTATTCACTGAAAAGTAGACAAGTGACCCAGAAGAATCTGGTGCTGTAAAAAAATAATGCATTAGTTGGGATACACAAGTAAAAATAGACTGACTGAAAAAATGTTAATCTCTAATTAAAAATTGGTGATTTTATCTCTCACCAAATGTTGAAAGATATTTTTAAAGACGAGCTCCGTTGCTCCTTATCAGCTTGTCATTTTGTGACTGAGAAACAACGTTACTGTAGAAATGCATGAAGCTAGAAAAGTTTTAATATTTATTGGAGAGTGTGAAGCTTTCACATTGACACCTGCTTGGCAACTATCAGCAAAGTGAAGAGAAACCTGAGGTTAATTTGATTTGAAATGACTCAACCATATTTAAAGTCTTTCTGAAAGTTGATATCGAGGATTTTTTTGAATTTGTGTTCACAAAGTGGCTCATCATTTAAAAATTGTCAAGTAAGCTTTATTTATTGCACATTTGATGACTGCTACAAGACAAGCTAAATTCTGAAATACATTCATCCACCAAAGTATTTAAAGTAAGCTATGGTTCAACAAACTTAAAGATGACACATAACACTGTATTGGGTTGCAAAAACCCTTCAAGAAATAGACTGTTTTAATGAAGCCAAAGCTTTTAATGCAATGCCTCATAAGCATTACATTAAAATGCAATGCTTATAGTACTAATGTGCTAATTATTCAGTGTAGTTCTTTAAGTTGTCATCTTTGTGATACTTGGTGTCACAAATGTGACAACAAATTTCACACATTTGATGACAACTTTACATGCACGGAAATATCAGATTTCCTTAGTTTGCATTCAATACCCGTTCATTGACAACATTTGTTTCCATATAAGGTCATGAGTAGAAAAAACAATGATTAAAGCAATGTTCACCAGAAAAGTGAACAAGAAGTGCAAAACTTTCACATAAAATGCATAACAAAAGAAATGATATAAAAAATGCCTTCATGGTCAGACATAGACATGCTGAGGTATGCTTGTGCAAGAAAAGTTTCAACTATAGGGAAGTAAAAACAGCATCATCTTGCTCAAACCGCATGAAGTTGCGGTTTAACCAGATGTTAACTCTTGAGTTTGCAGATTACAGCTGGCTCTGCGACTGGGACACCGTCTCACGAGTTTTCTTTTCCGCGCTCTCACAAGTGTCTGTCTGAGGCAGATTCAGCGTTCTCCTGCAGATGTTCTTGAAGGCCGGGCTGGAGAAGTAGTAGACCACCGGGTCCAGTGCACTGTTGAGATAAGTCAAACTGATGGTGATGTAGAACGCGGTGGTGAGCTGCTCCACGTCGTCACAGACGAATCCTGGGATCACCTTGATCAATATGGCCAGCAGAGTGATGTTGCTGGGGAGGAAGCAGACGATGAAGAGCACCACCACCACCATGATGAAGTACAGAGCCTTTTTGAACTTGGTCTGGTTGGTCAGCTGTCTCCTCTTCAGGTGTCTGGTGATTTGGAAGGTGCAGAAGAGGATCACCAGCAGAGGCCCATAGAAAGAGAAGAGAAACGTGAACTTGTGCCAGGACAGGTGTCCTTTGGAGGCCGTGTCCATCATGAAGCTTTCGCAGTAGGTTGTGTTGATGTGTTGCAGGGAGAAGACATGTGCGGTCATCGCAATGGGGACCAACCACAGCACCAGAGCGCCCAACATGGCCTTGCCAACGCTCAGGGAGTTAATGGGATGGTGGGGATGCACCACACGCATGTACCTGTCCAGGGCGATGGCCATCAGGAAGAAAGCGCTCCCGCTGCGGTTCATCGCCAGCATGAAGAGGCAGATGTTACAGATACTCTCACCAAAAATCCAGCTGATTCCCGACAGGTAGTAGCTGGCTCGGAGGGGCAGAGCCATGATGAGCATGAAGTCAGTCACTGCCAGGTTGAAGAGTAGCACCGTGCTGCTTTTCCAGGGCCTCAAGTGGAAGCAGAAGATGAAAAGAGCAAAACCGTTTCCAGTGAGACCCAGAACGAACTCTGTGACCAGCAGTGGAGGGAGCACTCTGATCAGCACGGGTCCACTGAAGTTGCACAGCATGTCGGCTTTTGGCGTTGCTTTGATGCCTGCAGACTAGAGAATGAGCCCCAGAAAGGCCGTCCTCCTTCTTAAAAGGGAAACCCCAAAGCAGAAAAAAAAAGTGCTGGTTGTGTGGTTTGAGTATTCCAGGAAGCCACAAAGTTCTTCTTTTTGTTTACTTTTAATTCATATTTTTTTTCAAAGATTCCGTAATCATTTAGAAAGTTGCACATGTTCTTTTCAGTACGTAGCCATCTGCTTACATGCAAGATGCATTTCATTCACTGTCATGTTGCAGGTGATTGCAACACTCCAGCTGAATCAAATCTATTGACCAAACTGAAATAAAAGATTCTAAACTTTGAATGAAAATACCTCAAAGCATCACTGTTACTATATATAATAGAGAATAGACACCCATTTTTCAGTGGCTGCATTTCTGAAAATTTCAGAAATGCAGTGGCTGCATTTCTGAAAATTTCCCTTCTGAGAAACCAGAGTTGAGACTCGATGAACACTGAGTCCCACATGTCTAACAAGTCTAAGAGGTTTATTGCAGCATGACTGAGAAATGGATCTCCTTAAAAAGAAACATTTATATGAAGAACAAACGATCCCCTAGGTTTGAGATGACAAAAGCTGAATTTGATTACAAACCAACATTTCCCCAAAGCAACATGCTAAAGCACACTGGAAAAGCATCCATATCTCTTGGGTCATTGCACGTCACATCCACCAATTTTCATGCATTTTATTTGGATTTCATGTCCTAGACCAAAATAATTCATGTAACAGTTTTTCACAAAGCAATATTTGTAAAGTGTGGTGAAAATTCAGCTCCTTTCACACCCATGTATGAACAACCAGCAGTCTTCAGGAGTCTCCTCATCAGTAAACGGCGTCCACTGCCATCCAATCAATCTCATTTCTAATGCAGTTGTTCTATGAAGACCTCAGAGGGGTTTGTTTGACAACAAACGGCACCATGAAGGAACACAGCAGACGGACTTAAAGAAGGGTTACGTTACGAAAGAGGAGAGTATGCCCCAGAGAATAATTAGAGGCACGCTTTCCTTCAACACAAAAGTTGGGCAGCTTAATCAAAGTTTAGACTTGTTTCCAATTAAGAATCAGAGGAAAGAATTTAAAGTTGATCTTCTAAGATGCTCTACATGTGATCTGGCTGAACTTAAGCTATTTTTACAAACTTGGTCCAGAGACACTCTAAACGCTCTGCAGCTGTAGCTGCAGTTTTTCTCGCAAGCTTCGACTCAGAGGAGCTGAACAGAAATTCACTGTTCGGCTCTTCACATTGTTGGCCTCTTTGTAAAATTCCAGTGAAATACATTGAAGTTTGTGTTTCAGGTTAGAGGTCAGCTTACAGAGCCTTGTAATCAAATATTACTTTTACGTCACAAACAACACAGTGAGTTTTTTGATTGGAAACAGTTAAATATAAATTCCTATCGACCCACAGGAGAGTTTCACTGCAGTCAGTCTTTCCTCATCATAAGACCAGAAAGGTTTGACATCATTTCTACTAAGAGCTGTAGTACGCAAAGAAGAGAAGTGATATAGATAGTTTGTGTCCAGACTTCTACATCCTCAACAATGTTTCGGTTTTATTCAGAGGGAAGCTACACAGATGAAGTGAAATAAGCTGAGAATTTCTCGTGGTGTGTTAGAAACATGCATTTGCGCTCATGATCTTTATCTGCAGATGCATGTGACAGCAAAACCCAAGTGTGAAACAAGGTGTGATGATGAGCATGTGGCTGAATCTTTTCGATTCCAGCCTTCAACAGAGGAACATTAGAGTGTGTGCTATTTTCTTTATTGATCTGGTTTTCAGGTAGCAATCATTGACACCAAATGTTACTTCCTTCCATCTGTGATGGAGAGTTTGGACAAAACTAAATGATCCAGTACTAAAATAATCCCAAACATGCATCAGGATGACATTAGGCTTCTGGAAAGACCCTTACTGAAACTGCTACCAGCTTTGTAAAAAAAGACAGGTTAAAATATCCAACCAGAATTATGTTGAATTTAAACCTGTTGATTGTTACAGAAAGTGTTTGATGTACATTGAAATACGGTCTATAAATAGCTGAATGTGTGTTTGAGTCTGATCAGAGGGATCAGGTGTATCCCTTCCTAAACATTCACCGAGCTCTCAGTGGGAATTATCAACCGGCTCAATTAATTCTTGTCATCAACAAAGTTAAAATAACTGGAGCAGATATTGGAAGAAAAACAAAACCACCAAGGCACAGGTGTTTTAATCTGATACATATACAAAGAATTGCATTAAAACATGCAAATTAAAACATCTTAAATACCTAAATTAGAGCTCCACCACCACAACTTTACTTCCTAACCACCCAGATGCATTCATGGTCAATGCTGGGGATTTCAACCGTTCTTCACTGAACACTTTCCTGCTGCCAAACGTTCACCAGCATGGCGAGTCGACAGGCCCAGCAAAGACAATAAAACACTGGATCTTCTGTATGATGATGTCAGTGCCACTGTTCTGTGTAAATACATTGGTGGTTAACATTACTTTATTGCATAAAAATGTGAGTTTTATTTTATATTTCATTCTTACTTACATTAACTGTTTTCTGTATGCCATGCTGCTGCTGCTCAACATTTTCCCAATTCTGGGATTAGTAAAGGACATTCTATCTTATCCATAAACCTGATAATGTCTTCTTTTTTCAAAAAAGAAACAAAAAGAACGTTAATTTATTCATTTTATCTTGCAGAGAAGATTTTTGTAAGAGCCATTCCCCTTCCCACTGTCTCTACACATATCTCGGTATGTTTTATTGAGACCAATGCAAAGTAGAGATGCAAGAATCGGCAAATTGTTGCATGGATGTGCATTCAGCCCTTTTATTCTGATGCCTCCAAATAAAATTATTGCATCCATCCAATGATCTGAGAGTGAAGAATAATAACACAACAGGAAGCCTACCAGGAAATGACCACCCACCTGCACCGGCCGAGGAGACGAGCAGGAAATCGATCAGAACAGCAAGAGGAGAATCTGTTAGCTATTATTTGTGCATTCCCCAAAACTAATTATTGAAAAGGTTTTTCTTAAAAACAAATGTAGAAGAAGAAACACTGATCAGCTGAAAAACACTATTCATGTTGAAAACTTAACAGCAATAACACCAAAGCCTCATGATGCAAGAAATCTCACATCTAATTTGGGTACGAAAGCAGCAACACCCTTTTTCAATATCTCAATTTCTCTGAGTCAGTCATTCTTGTGTGAAAAATGTAACCAACGTTTCAATGGAAAGTTAATCCACAAATAACACTGGACAAAATGTCCCACTTATCTCAGTCAAAAACTTTTTTGAGTCTTCAGATTGTTCCTCTGAAGACTTCTGTCATATTTAGTGTTTGAATGTTATCTTGCATTTGCCTTTGCTTAATAAAGCAGATCTGACTGAATCGAGTTAAGGGTGAGAATATTTTAAATCCGTTTGGCAGACCTCCACCCACAAATAGGGTGACGTTGCATCAATCACCTTCTGAAACCTCTTCCTCGGTAGGGTCTGTGGTCTGCTGAGCTCTCTAATTAGCTCCCACATGCTAATTAGACAACCAGAGTTACATTAACTTCTCTTTTAAAGTATTTGTTTTGTGTCTCACTATGGGGAGAAATACTGATTCCCAGATTGGCAGACATGCCAGTTAAATTGACAAATGTTCCCAGTGGCCTAATCTGTAAGCGGTCAAATGATGAGAGGCGGCACTTAACAGGGCAGTATTATGTAAAATTGAATTTTTTATTTTAGCTTTATGTCATGGTATAGTGTTATTTCTGGAGTTTGATTCTTTCATGCAACTCCCTCGCTCAGCCCCTTCAGACTAGCGGCAGCAGCAATTAGCAAACACATGGTGGAACTTCACATTTTCTGAGATCATCATACAAGCTACTTCTCAATAGTTAAAGAATGTAGTTAAAGGCTTAATGGAGAAGCGTTTCTGTAATAACCATGATGAAGGAGGATCGTCAAAAAGAGCAGGAATTTCTTAAAGACACAGAGGCCAATTTCAAGACATTAAATTCTGAAGTCATGCTTGATGTAAACAGTGTTTTTATGACAACTGGAGGTAACATAGTAATTTAATTATGTTATGAAATACTGCACGTCTGCTTCTGAACACACCATACACCAAATAAAGAGACACAGATTTTTTCCACACCACATTAAATAAAATCAAACTTCTCTTGTTTTTGGTTATGGGAAATGCCCAAATTATTTATATTTGCTAAAAACGTAAGGTGAAACATTTTGCGTTTCCTTCCTCAAGCTTCTCACAGTAGTTTGCTGGACTTCAGGTCTGTTCCTCCTGACAGAACAGGTGCAGCTCAGTCCCACACACCTTTCCACAACGTCTGCATAGATGAGATATCAGGGCTAAACATTATCAAAACATTGACTTTGTTGTTCTGCAGCAGTGGAGGGAGAACTCCTATCAGCACCGGCCCACTGAAGCTGCACAGCATGTTGGGATTGCTTTGATGCCTGCAGATGAGAGATCGAGCCCCAGAAAGAAAATCTGCACTTTACAAGGAAGGTCAACATAGAAAAAGGTGCTAAATGTGCGGTTTATTCAACAGTAGCTTGACAGGAAGGAGGTCAAAGAGCGAAGGAGACGTCATACAGTGAATGTCCCCGGGTCCAGGAACCGAACCAGGGAACACTGTGTTGAAGGCTCTGTTTATGTTGGAAACAAAACCTATAGAAGTATTTTTCTGGATTTATATTATGTCCTCAGGATAATTATAAAAACATGATAATCAATAAAATTTGTATTTAATTGTCTCAGTGTTGCAAGGTATAATCAAAGGCTAACGCTGTTGCACACAAAGTGATTGGTCTGCTGTTCAACTTTTTTGAACATTCATAGTTTAAATTACTATCTGATGGATTTTAACACAGGAGATAAAATTAGATGCAACTGTAACTCAAAATGGATTTAATTTTAGTTGGTAGTTTACACATTTAATTGTGTGTTTAACTGATTGCTGTATCACTTGTACAAATCAAAATGTTCTTTTTTGAATGTAGTTTTAATTGAAATTACACATATATAAATATTTGTTAT